AAGATGGAAAGGTCACAAATAGATAACCTAACATCATGCCTCAGAAAATTGGAAGAACAACAACAAAATGCCAGGTGAAAAGAAATAATAAAGGTATGAACATAAATAAATGAATTAGAAAATAAACGATCCATACAGAAAATAAATGAAAGCAAAAACTGGTTCTTTGAAAAGATGAACAAGTTCCACACACCATTGGCTAGACTGATCAAGAAGAAGAAAGAAAGAAACCAGATAAATCATATAGGAGATGAAACAGGCAACATTACAGCAGACATAATAGAAATACAAAACATCATTAGAGGGTACTATGAGCGACTATATGCTAACAAACAAGAGAACTTGGAAGAGATGGACAAATTCCTGAATGCATTTAATCTTCCAAGATTAAATCAGGAAAACACAGAAAACCTGAATAGACCCATAACAAGCTAGGAGATTGAATCAGTAATAAATAACTTCCCAAAAAAGAAAAGCCCAGGTCCAGGTGACTTTGCTTCTGAATTCTACAAAACTTTTAAGGAATAGTTAATCCCTATCATACTCAAATTATTTCTAAAGATTCAAAAGGAAGGAAACCTTCCAAATTCACTTTATGAAGCCTGCATCATATGCATTCCCTAAACAGATAAGGACATGATAAAAAAGGAAAACTACAGACCAATATCACTGATGAATATAGATGCAAAAATTCTCAATAAGATACTCACAAATCGTATCCAACAACATATAACAAAGATTATTCATCACAACCACGTAGGCTTTATCCCAGGGATGCAAGGGTGGTTCAACATATGCAAGACCATAAGTGTAATACATCATATTAACAGAAAGAAAGATTAAAAACCATATGATCATTTTAATTGATCCAGAGAAAGCATTTGATAAAATACAACATCCTTTCATAATTAAGAACTTCAGTAAGATTGGTATAGAAGGGTTACTTCTCAACACAGTAAATGCTATTTATGAAAAACTTACAGCTAACATTTTACTGAATGAGGAATAACTACAAGATTTTCCACTAAAAACTGGTAAAAGTCAAGGCTACCCAGTTTCTCCACTGCTTTTTAATATAGTACTGGGAATCTTAGCTAATGCAATCATTAGAAAAGAGAACTATATAAATGGAATTCAAATAGGCAAAGAAGAGTTGAAAATATCTTTATTTGCAGATGGTATACTTAGAAGACCTAAAGGTTTCCATGAAAAAACTTCTCGAAGTAATAAGTGAATACAGTAAAGTGGCAGGATACAAAGTCAACATCCAAAAATCTATAGTATTTCTTTTTTTCTTTCTTTTTTTTTTTTGGAGAGGTTTTTGCTACAGGGCACGTGCGCTCGCCAGACAGACAGAGAGAGACAGAAAGCCAGAAATCACCCCCCAGGGGAGATGGCCATGCCGCAATCCCTTCTGCTCCATTCTCCTCTCGGGATCTTGGGCACGTGCGCACACACACCCAGCGTGAGTTTAAGCCACCGGGTCCGGGACTTGAACCGCGGTTGGCTACATGGGAGTCCAGCGACATAGCCATTACGCTAACTGCTGGCCGCCCAAAATCTATAATATTTCTGTATATGAACAACAAGTTGAACGAAGTAGAGCTGAAGAAAATAATCCCTTTCGTGATAGCCACAAAATGTGTAAGATACCTAGGGATAAACCTAACTAAGGAAGTCAAAGACCTTTACAAAGAAAACTATGAAAATCTTAAAAAGATATTGAAAGTAACATTAAAAAGTGGAAGGACATCCAGGTTCCTGGATTGGAAGAGTTAACATAAACAAAATGGCAATTCTAACCAAATTAATCTACATATTTAATGCAATCCAAGCAAAATATCAGAGATATTCTTAAAAAATCTAAAAAAGACAATCATAGAATGTGTCTGGAATCATAAAAGACCTTATATTTCCAAAGCAATCCTGCCCAAGAAGAGTGGAATGGGAGGCATATCACTCACTGATTCCAAGATATACTTTATAGCTGTGATCATCAAAACAGCATGGTATTGGCACAAAAACAGGCATGTGGACCAATGGAATAGAATAGAGACCCCAGAAATAAACTCCAAAGCTTCCAACCAACTGATTTTTGACAAAAGATATCAGTCAATCCCTTGAGGAAAGGAAAACCTCTTTAGTAAATGGTGTTGGAAAAACTGAGTATCCACTTGCAGAAAGATGAAACTGAACCCCCCCCATCTTTTGCCATTAACAAAAGCCAACTCAAAATGGATCAACGATCTGAACCTAAGACCTCAAACAATAAAACTACTGGTGGAAGCTACTGGGGAAATTCTGGGAAACATTGGAGTAGGCAAAGACTTCTTAAGACTCCCAAAGCACAGGCAATAATCCCTAGAATACACAGTGGGATTATATCAAACTAAGAAGTTTCTACACAGCAAGGGACACAGTAACAAGTGTAAATTGACAACCCTCAGAATGGGAGAATATTTTTGTAAAATATGCCTTAGACAAGGGACTGATAAACAGAATACAAGGGGAACTCAAGCACCTTACATGCAAAAAATGATTCACCCAATTAAAAGATGGGAAAATGAGCTGAACAAAAATTTCTCTAAGGAAGACATACAAACAGACAAAGAGCATATGAGGAAATGCTCAACATCCCTCATCATCAGGGAGATGTAGATTAAAGCCACAATGAGATACCACCTAACCCCTGTCAGAATGGCAAAGATTAAAAATATAAAAGTGATTACGTGTTGGCGGAGATGTGGTGAAAGGGAAACTCTCCTACTTTGTTGGTGTGAATGTAAACTAGTTCAGCCACTGGGGAGAACAATATAGAGGTTCCTTAAAGATCTACAAATAGGGACCAGCAGTTAGCCTAATGGCTATGTTGCTGGACTTCCATGTCATCGACTGTGGTTCATGTCCCGGACCTGGTGGCTTAAAACTTACGCTGGGCGCATGTGCACACGTGCCCAAGATCCCTAGAAGAGAATGGAGGAGAAGGAAAAAAAAAAAAAAAAGAAAGAAAGAAAGGAAGAAAGAAAGAAAGAAAGAAAAAAACAAAAATAAAAACAAAAACAAAACAAAACAAAATAAAAAGATCTACAAGTAGAACTACTATTTGATCCAGCAATCCCACTTCTGGATATCTATCCAAAGGACAGGCGAATGCTCAGTTGGAAAAGTACTTGAACATCAGTGTTTATTGCAGCATTATTCATTATCGCTAAGACATGGAACCAACCCAAATGTCCACAAACTAATGAATGTAATGAAAAAGTGTGTCACATATACTCTATGGAATACTACTCAGCCATAAAAAACAAGACCCTGGCATTTGATAGAAAGTGGTCAGATATGGAGGAGCTATTGCTGAGTGAAGCAAGCCAGGGTATGAAAGAAAGACAGTGTGTGTATCCACTTAATATATACCGACTCTCAGCAATTTATGGTAGAGATGGAAATATTGGATGGCATAAAAGCAGTGAAAATAGTTAGCGATGATAAAGACAGTGTGGAACAGGGCGAGAGAAAAGAAGGGTATGGAGAAGGATAACAAGAGAACAAATAGAGAGGCATGACATTAGTGGGACATGGAAATGGTTTAGTATCTGTTGATGATAACATGTATAGTATTCTCCACTGGGCTGGTCTGAGAAGTATTTCATGTTGGTAAAGTCTTTTTACAAACAAAATGATAAATAGTGATTGAATGTTTAAAAAAATTGTAATAATAGTAATAATACATCTGGAAAAATGATGAAAAGCTATTTGATGATGATGATGGAGATTTTAATGTCTTTATATTGACTGATGTGTATGGTATCCCTTCTGGAAAAACAAATGTAATACACTGTAAACTTACATGTGATTCAATGTAATATAAACAAGATTATGATTATGATAAATAAATAAATAAAATGTAAAAAAAAATCATCATGCTGTAACCTTCCAGTGGAATATGGGATAAATTCTGAGCTATAGATCTTCCTTTTTATGCTTTTTATATTTTGATTTGTTTTTATTAACAGAGGACATGTGCTCTCACCAGAAAGAGACAGAGAGAGAAAGAGAAAGAGAAAGAGAGGGAGATGGAGAATGCATCCCCTCCAATGGAATCCTGTCACACTGCACTCCATTATCCTCCTTTCAGGGATTGTAAGGGACATGTCCACAGTCACCAAATTTATTTTTCAAGCTGTAGGGTCCAGAATTTGAACTGCCCTCGGCCATGTGGAATACTGCTCCCTTAACCCTCAGGTCATTTGGCTAGCCCTACGGTTTTTATTTTAACACAATTTTTCAAATGTCAAACACTCTATTCTGCATCAGCCATAGGCAGTTGCACAAATCAAAGAATTTTAACATTAGAATCTTGAATCTGATATGAATTTACAAGAGTCTTTTGAATTCTAAACAACCAAGATTTTTCCTAAGATAGCTCCTCGCTGGGGCCCAGTGAGGAGAGCCCTTCATCTTGGGAGCTGGCATGCGGCCGGAAACGGGGCTGCTCCCTCCCCCGTCACAGAAAGCACTTTTGTCAGGAAACCTGGTGCTAAAACATTCGTAGACGACCTGCTTCTAGGTCGGGGAAAAAACGAAAAAAAAAAAAAAAGAATGGTTTGTATCGAATGCTATCTCTCTGAAATTTAGAGTGGGCAGACAGAGAGTAAAAAGGAGAAATAAGTTGGGAAATGGGAATAAAACCATTTTCTGATTATTAGCCAATATCTATCAGAATAAAAAAATTAATAAACCCCAAGATATATTCAACATGTTCATTTCTATCATTTATGCAGATTAATCTGAATTGATAAATGTAAGGAAGGAGGAAAGATTAGAATAAGCTTTTATTTGGTTCCATTATGAATCATCACGTGATCATGTCCCCTCACCTTGATGGGACCACCCTGTCCTCCAGCTCCAGATTCCAGACTGAGGATGCTGCAGCTGACAGGGCCACAGATGGCAGGAGCGTGAACTGTGGACAGGTCACTCATGGCACAGACAGCAGCCACCTAGTGCCCTGAGCTCTCCAGCACCTTCCTCTTACGTGGGCTCAGGGGCTGCTGTTGCTGCTCCCCAGACAGAGAGCACATGAGGGCAGCTGGGCCACTCCAAGCAGGGAGGTTTGTGTTCAGGGCTGTATCACTGTGAGAGGATATTGTATACCTTGCACGATAAATTCCAGCATCCTCAGCCTCCACCCTGCTGATTTTGAGTGTGAAATCTGTCCCTGACCCGCTGCCACTGAACCTGTCTGGGACCCCAGGGTCCCTGTTAGAAACCTGGTATATCAGGCGCCGTGGAGCCTGGCCTGGCTTCTGCTGCAACCAATACAAATAAGTTTTTCCATCACTGTGTAGGAGACTCTGACTAGACTTGCAGGAGATAGAGACCGTCTCTCCATGGATGACGGGCAGAGAGAGTGGAGTCTGGGTCATCACAATATCCCCACTGGATCCTGAAATAATGAGAGAGAAATGCAAGATCATATACAAGCATCATTCACATTTTAAAAATTTCAGGCTATATAATCTTGACATTTTGATTGTTACACCGAAATACTCTGTTTCTGAAAAGGATCCAAGATCTGTAAGCCCCCAGGGGGCCTCCGTAAGTCCCCTATCCCAAACTCGATTTCTATGTGACTATCCTCAGCATGCTACAGGTCCTTGTTCCTTCTGGAACCTTCCTCACTGTCACAAATCTAAACCTCACATGTCCCATCCTGGAGGACAAGTCTTGGACATCTCACACATGACAGAGATCACGTGAGAAGGGATGCAGTGGGGGATTCAGAGTTCGCCCTCCCACCTGTTCTCCTCTTTCAACCCTCTGTGCCCTCACCTGGGACCCAGAGCATTAACAACCCCAGGAGCTGAGCAGGGAACCCCATGTTGAGAGCTGAACTGGGGAGTCCTGAGCAGTCCAGAGATCAGAGCTGACTTTTATCTTAGACTTGCAAGGAAATGTGCTCCCTAGAGGACAGTATGCAAATTCCCTGGTGGGTGCAGCAGTGTGGAAAGAGAGAACAGGAGAGTGGGGCCCATTTACTATATATATGCATTTAAAAATAAAACTCTTGACCTCCTTCATACTACAATTAGAAATAAATGCTAGACCATAGTCTACATGTGAGAAAAAAATAAAATGATGCTCTCAAACATAAGCAAATGAGAAAATCTTTAGGCCCTGAAGGTGGCAAGATTTATTGAACATAAGACACACACACACACACACACACACACACACACACACACACACACACAAA